AGTTACCTGTAAATCCACTAAAAATCAATCCTATATCTTTGCTATATTGCAGCAGTGCAACAGAATCCTGTATAGCAGTTGGTTCCCAATTAGCTAAGTACTGCAGACCCCTTGGTTTGTTTTTTAAAGTCAAGCAATGGACCCCCTATTTTTGAAAATGTTGATATCTCTATGGTAGTTTTTTGTTATGTTAATGGTGCCACAGACACCATGGGTGGGTTGTGCAGACCCCTGGGGACCACAGACCACCAGTCTGTTCAGGTTTACTTGGACCACCTACTGCTGTTCAGGTTTACTTGGAAGCAAGTCCCACTGTGTTCATTGGGGCTTGCCATTTAGCAACTCTGTTTGAGATTGCAGCATCCTAACTGCATGTAATAGGCCAGGGAGTAAACCTGTTAAATGGAACAGCAAACATGCATAAAATTGTGCTGTTAGTATTGGTGTTCTGAAAGGCACCAGATCACCTTAGCTACTCCTACAGAATTACCGGTACATGTTTCCTGCTGCCTGTAAATTGAGCTGAAACGTACTTACAGACTTTGAGAGGAATAAGAGGGCATGAAATTTGATGCAGAACTGGGGACCAGTTTAAAGGAACGCACTTTCGTCCCAGATTCTGAATGGTGGATCTCATTAAGATATCTGTGTGAGACCAAGTAAGAGAAACAGAACCTAGACTATTTATTATATATAGCAGGCAGGGGTGGGGTTTGGTAATATGGTGCCTTGAGTGAGGCAAAAATTTGGCCCCCCAAAATGTATCTTCTCAGTTATGGATCTTCTCAATTTGGCACCAGCTCAGCACCCTGTGTGGAGGAACTTCTACACTGCCCTAAATCTGATGGCTGCAGCAGGGAAGGAGGGAACCTGTGGTGCTCTGAATGTTGTTGGACATTTCAGCATGATCAGAGATGATGGGAGATGCAACCCAACCACAGCCCAGAGATTCCCCATCCCTGATATGAAGCATTTAAGGATAGAAGCAGGCTTGGTTCTCAAGGGCTACAATCTGGGGACACAGTTGTGGGGAGGCTAAATCTGCCTCTTACCCCAGAGAGTAGGGCCAGTGAGGAATATAGTTTGAACCTTACTTCATATGCAACCCTTTGGTTTCTCTCATATAAGTGAATTGCCGCCATTCCCTTGGTTCAAAAACTTGGCATTTCATGGGAGAGGGGGGAGGAGATTCAGGGAAATGAAGTGCTGCCTTTGGAGACAACACTGCCGTGTCTCTGATTTGATTGCCTGCTGTGTTTTCTGTGACCCAGACACCTGACAGCTTCATGAATAATCCTTTTAACAAATGAGAAGCCAATGTCTGACCTAAAGTGATACTGAAATACATTGCAAGAATTCGTGCAGAAACAAAGAAGAAAATTACAACTTAGGCTTTTAAAAAAATCTGTAAGTGTTGCCCCTCATGTTCACTGCTGGTGAATATCATGCCAGGGCCCTCTGCTGCAACCACTCTGCACCCATTTAAGCATGGCAAAAGATACCCGTAAACATCTACAATGCATGCAAAACATTAATACCCATCCATCAACTGGAATGGTTGTGTCTTTCAGTGGCCCTGTGTCTTTTTCAATCGCATAGTGTACCGCTGTAGCAACCTCCCCTCTTCATTGGCAGTTTCCATTGTTCTTGACAGGGACACTGTGTATCAGAACCTTGCCCAGCGTAAGTTCAGACCTGGTGAGGAAAAGATATGACAACCTTTTGTTAGAGATAGATGGCAGGTGGAATCCAGAATTCTGCAGCCTTGGGGACTTCAGACCAAAGCAAATGTGGGTAACTTCAGCCAATGGAGGTCCACTGGTTAACATGTTAGCATTATCCTGTCTCCAGTGTTCAAAACTCCCATTGTTCTAGGTGCATTTTTCAACAGGG